TCAATACATATAGGACATTAAGAAAAAGAAAAAGAAAATAAATAAAAGTAAAAAACACTTTCCTGCCATTTTTCAATTGTTTTTTTTGTCCGCCAAAATGACTGAATTTAACGAAGAAAGTCAATATATTCTAGTTTTATAACAAAAAAGAAAAAAATTCGACTGAAAACGCGAATTTCATTGACGTTTTTGGACCTAATGCAGTATCAGTAAAAGTAGCACAAAGCTGTTTCAAGCATTTTCAGCCTTAGACTTTTGATATCAAAGATGCAGCTCGCTCTGCTTGCCTTCATACGGATAAAACCGATGACATTTTTAAAAAAGTGGAGCAAGTTTGGCATATTAGTAGTTACGACATAGCCGAAAAATTAGCGAGCACCAAATAGTTTTCACACTCACTTGAAAAAATCTAGCTATCCAAAAATTGTCTATATTTGAGTACCACACGAGCTCATCGAAAGAAACCTAATGAATCGTGTACTCATTAGCGATTCTCCATTGAACGTTATGAGACCAAACCATTTATGAAAAGATTGATAACTGGTGACGAAAATTGGATCACCTACGACAAGAACGTGCGAAAAAAATCATGGTCAAAGGGTATTCAGATTGCAACGAAACCCGGATTAACCTGTATCGTTTATTATGAGTTTATACCACCGAGCAAAACTTTCGATTTAGATTTTTACTGCCTACAACTAATGAGAATCATGCAATAAATTGAGAAAAAATTACCAGAATTGATCACCAGAAAAAAGTGATCTCTTATTATGATAATGCCCGATCACACACATGTTTGGCCACTCAGAAAAAATTGAGAGAGCTTGGTTGGTGTTAGTGATGAAGTGTTAATGATTTCAATATATATAGTTGTGGTCACATAATTAAGAACGATTTGAAGTTGTAGAAGTTTTTTATTTAAATCATGTCGTATACAGAGATGTGCACCTTCTGAGAAGCAACTATTTATGTTATAAAATAGCCACATTAATAGAGCAACGTGGCTTAGAAGTAAAGAATAAAATAGCAAACTTTTTTTCACATTTTATTTATTTTACCAAAGTAACTCATTAAAATAATACTGAAACTGGACAAATAATTAATAACGATTTATTAAACTGCTCGGAAATTGTTTTGTATGACACATTTATAAAATCACAATAATATGTAGCGCGGACAATTAAAAACAAAAATTTTAAATAAAATTAATAGCCAATAGCATATCCACGGCTTTTAATTACAGCTTTACACCACCGATTTACTTTACTTTACTTAACTTTTAGATTGCTGAAGGGTTGTTTTCACCAAAATATTTTTTTCTCAGCTCATTTTGTTTTGCCATACGAACGATGTTTCGGTCACCTCGAGGAGTTGTTTTTTCTGTTTAGGTACACGTGGAACATTCGCAGTTGTTTGATACGCAGCAAATCGCTTTACAGCGTGGAAAACCATTGTTTTTGAACATTGCAGGTGGTCGGCTATCTTTTTATAAGACCAATTCTTCCGGCCAAGTTTTATTATTACTTCCCTTGTAGAATTATCACAACTTTTATTTTTTCCCATTGTTTTTTCCTAAGAAGCAATCACTTTCATTCTTTTACACACAGAACACTATTAATGGCCTTTAAAATTATACAAACAGTAACAAATCAACTGAGTTTTCTCTATTTAAATTTGAATAAAGGTATAAATTATTTAGCGTTCTTAATTACGTGACCAGCCAGTAAATAAAAACACTATGTTTAGAAGTAGTGTAAAAAGTTTGTCTATTTATTTTTTGCTAATCATGTATATCAATAAATACAGTAGTATTATGGAAAAGTTTTACTATACCGAGAGAAATAAAAAAAGTTGCATGCAATTAGTTTTGTGTTTTAGTTTTAAAAATTCTTCCCCCTTATATCAGCGTTCTTAATTATATGACCACCACTGTAATCCTGAACTCACACCCTTGGTCTCTTAAGAATTATTTGGGTAATATTAGGTTAACATCAAGAGAGGACTGTCAAAACAACTTGTCTCTTTTTTGGGTGAATAATCCCAAGATTTCTATAGCAACGGGATTATGTCACTACTAGTCTGGGAGGCAGCGTCCGAAATTTTGGACCCATTCCTACAAAGCTAATTTTTCTGTCAAGCAATGTTTATACCGTATAAATAATGAAAGTGAAAGTCTACCAAGCTTTTAGTGTTGCAAACGTTTATAACAATTTTTGAAACCTGTAAATAAATAATACGTAAATTTATTATATCTACAAGATTTAAACTTTTTACAGTGACCAAGAATACCTAAATATACAGGATAATGATAGTCTACCACCTTGGAAGCGTTGCCATCTAAGGTCTACCACCCACGTAATGTGTTGAAAAATTAAGTTTTTGGACTTATTTCTACAAGGCTGAAATTTTTTTCGCAAATATTTAGGTTTATAAAAGAACAAAAAAAAGACAGTCTACCGAGAATCCAATGTTGGTAAAGCCTTGGTAGAAGCGATGGAATGCACTATCTCCCGAGTGCAGCTACTGCGCCGATCCGCTATAAGTCGCTCTGAATAATTGGACATACCGGCATTAAATTAAAATCTACAAAGCTGATGTTTCGTCTACAAGTAGTTTACTTTAATTATTATTGAAATATTGTCATCTTCGTTTTTACGTATGAGTAAAATTTCGGGAAATTTCAATTGGTCTTGTAAAACTCGTTAAATTTAAAAACTTTTTTACGCAAAAGGGTATTCATCAATAAATATCAATTGTTATGTTTATTGGTGAACAAAACTGCCGACTTACTGGTAAATTAAAACATGAAAACTACAATAGTATGGGAAAAGCATAAGAAAACTTTTGTTTGCATGACATTATTCATTATAATTTTAAATTCATGTATTTCTAAAACATCTGGACGGTTACTGATTATCAAAGTCCACAGCTGAATGAATATAAGCTCCCCCACATAGATGGCTTCTCAGAGATGATATTGCCACAGTTGCCACGCCCAGCAGGCGGGTTGGTAACCACAGTTTTTATGGTGTTACTAAAGAGACCCTGATATACAATCTCCAGTTTATTTCCCTCTGTTGTCTTTTACGACACACACCGGACAATAGTATGTCGTGGATATTCTTACAATTCCTCTACAAGATTAACGTCTACATTAATAACCGTTAAAATATATATTTTTATTTATGAGCTATGTTGTGCCTTTAATTTAATAGTACGTACGCAACTTGCGATTTGAAAATGTCAATTGCAATTTAAAATGTTGATGTACCCATGTATTTGGCGGCAAAGGAAAACATTATGTGAAGAACTTTTCTTCGAAATATTTCAAATTTCACCATATCTTGCTGGCATTAGGTATGTTTGTACTCCATAATCTTCTTAAAAGCGATACTTGTAAGTGTACCTGGTAGTGGGATTATTTGTATAATAAGGGTGAAAAACGGGCCAGCTTTTCACCTAATATTAAAGTAAATGCTGTGGCCCATATAAAATCAAAGTATTGATGTGTTGTCAACCGTGAAGACTAAGATGTAGTGCCCAATTTGCAGTAAAAATGTGTCTACGGTTCTTTACACAGACTATACAAGACATAGCAGCATTAAGCTACTGTTTTAGGCTGCTATTCTGTGAGAGGGTGATTCTTCCCTGGTCGACTTATTAGGTAGCTTTGCGTTGAAGTCTCTCATTAACACCGTATAGTGCGTTTTAGAGAAATGCATGGCTTTAGAAATATCCTCACACATTTCCTCCACCTCCTCATTGAGATTGGTGCGTAAACCTGTATGACTTTCAGCGAATACCGTTTGATGATTCTGAGTATAAGGTACGCAACCCTCGTTGATACACTCCCAATCTTTAAAAAGTTGTTAACGAGAGACTTGTGAACGATAAATCCAACACCTCCTTGGGACAGATGGTCGCCCTCCCGGTGATAGAACAAATTGCCGGATTCGAGAATCACCGTGTCCTCCCCCTCTCTTTGGACCTCAGATAATCCTATAATATTCGCAACTTGTCTATGTCTTCTTCCAGCTCCAGGATTTTCTCGTCAGTCCTCAGGATGGGTGCGTTGTAAGTTGCCAGGTCAAATCGTTTTAGATGGCAACCGAACCTCCACCGGAGATTCTTAGCATCCCCTGTCCCGCCGTTACCAAGGTCGCTACCGTAGCTAGGAATAGCGGGGCCGTCTATTTGTGTCGTTGCTCATGGGGGGGTATATTGCCATCACGCTTGGCGAGCGGGTTGGCTACCGCAGTTTTTATCGTTGTACAGTTGCTGTTATCGGGAAGATGCTGCTGCACATCTCCTGCCTGTTTCCCTCTTTCGCCTTTTACGACACCCACAGGAAGATATGGGGTAGTAGATATTCTTAGCCGCAAAATATATTTACTATGTAAGAATAATTACTATACGTATGTAATTCGTGTAGTATTTCAACCATTTGGCTGTTGTTAACAGTTAGTAATGAACAATAAAGGCAAGATAAGGTGCAATGAAAATACTATTTGTTGTTTTAGTCTATGAACATTGTCTACCAAGATTAGTACAATTTGGGACACTTCAAGGCAGAACTGAATGGGTTTTTTAGAAGCAAATCTGTACACTCTTTTAGACTCCACCCTCTTAATATCCTATACTACCACAGCTCAAATTCTAATTTCGCCCCCACTTCCCCGCGCGTCGTATGCTTTCTACCGACATGTTTATAATCACTTATACTGTAACAGTCTTATTCATAAAAATCCACTAAAATGACGTTATAACAGTAATTAGTTAAAATGCTCAATAGTACGTTCAATAAACCTGTCATAGTTAAATCATATTTATGGAATACTTTAGTTTTATTATGTTGTCATTCTGATGAATCCATAGACAAGCCGCGGTAAAAAAAGTTTGACAGCAATTGTGACATTTCCGTCAAAACAAGCGTGGTGTTTTCGTTAAATCGATTCAAGAAATTGATTTGTTTTATATTCATATATAACTCAATAAAAATAATGGAAAACATTACATGTAAAAAGTGGCAAAGAAGTGAAAATTGGCTGGAGGAAGATAAGGTTAATATGTGACTAAAGTAATTTTCTCATAGGTGCTTAGTGCACAAATGTTAGTTAACTGTGTTGTTATAATAGTATCCTTTTTCTTTCCATAGCATTTATTGATGGATTTGGTAAGGGAGCGTGTATCAGTAATTGAAAATAAAAATACTGATACAAATACAAACTCAAAAAAAGCTAGCAACATGGGCAGATTTATTATGCAGGTACCTATTTTTGTCTATCAATTTGTGAAGTGTTTGAAGATGAGTCTTCAACGCAATGATATTCTATATACGGTCAGTTACATTATTATGCAACAGAAGCATGTCACTTCGTCTCTTGCTGGTCTAATGCATATAAGCTTTTAAAGTCATAACAGTGGGCAGTCCACATAGTTCATAGAACATAGGATTGGACGGATTGATCTACTATGAGAAAGCGCAAAAAAGTCCTCAGGATCGCTTGCATTGTGATTGGCCCATTTTGAATATTAAAATGTCAAATATTTGTATAAATTGTGATTATACTTTTTTCCAGTTTCAACAGTATGTGTAAAGGTGGCACTCGTACCCTTCCCCAAATAAAATCCCAATGGAGCATCATTAAAATGACAAAAAAGAAAATTAAGTCTGTCGAACGAAAGAATCTTCGCCAGACTAGTGGTGGTCCACATCCAACTACGAACCCTGAAAATGCAGATGACATTTGTTTATGGCTCCTTAACGAATTTGTCATTGACACCAATGAATTTGATTCTGATGAAATAAATCAGTTATTACATATGTCAAGATTCTAAGTTAAAGGTCGCAAGTTTTATCTCTACCCAGAACAAACTTTAATGTTGCGTAATAAATATATTTGTTTCTTTTCTACCTAAATAAAATACCTACTAAAGTTTACTTAATGATATAGTTATCAAAAAAAATCCATGCTTAAGTACATTATTAATTTAATTATTTATTGCATTGTTTGTAGATTGGGGAGCCATTGCAAAATGAAATTAAAGTGGATGGGATAAATAAACTTGTCAATGTTGAAAACAAGTCTTTAGATATTGTGAGCATCCGTAAAGCATTGAGATAGCTAGCAATTTTCATATTTTTCATACCTATTTTATTTTTATATTTTACTGTTGTAGTACACAAAGAGTACAGTAAAGGATGTCACAGTAGAAATACTTGAGGAGATCCAAACTACACAAGAGGTAAATATGTGAAATGTCATAAACCAAGTACTTATTAAACATGTGCCAAAGTGGGAATCGAACCCATAACTTGATTTGTAATCCTGGATTTTAAATTTTGGGGATAAAAATAGTAGTTGAATAAAAAAAGGTCCATTTAAACTTAAATTTTATTTGATGAAACATTTTATATCCAAGTATATTTAAGATTAAGTTAATGAAAACATGTTTCTTATACGGTTTCCTTTGCTGCAGGTTGTATCTATTGGCTCAGCACCAAAACCACTATATACACCATCTAAGAAACCTGAAAGAAAGAATAAAACTGAGAAAAAGGTAAATATAATGACCTCTACTCTAATAGGGATTATGTTAATTTATGAAATTGTTGCTTTGATTTTTTTAAATACCCAAACATAACTATTTGTATTTCAGACCTTAGATCATGCAGAACCTGTATATCCAATACTGAAATCGATTGCAGGAAAAGGTCCATCAAGCCCAAATGACAAATGAAGAAAGGAAAGCCCGAAACTTGGACCTCGATGAGTCATTAATTAAATTAAAAATTGAATATTATAAAAAAAATTCTAGTTCTTGAAAATAAATAATTTAAAATTAAAATGTGGAGCTTACTTACTCATACCCTTAATTAGTTAAAATGCCTATCGATAAATGCTCGTAGAAGATCATTATTGGAGTCTCTTCCTCTGGCCTCACCAATTTGAGGTAGAAGTTCAGCGTCTACAATTGTATTGAGTTCATCATCATGATCTGAAAATTTTTTTAATAAAATTAAAACGGATAGGTACAAAAACGTTTACACACTCATATATGGTATTATTACATGTATACTACGACGTTCAGACTTACTTCACGACGTCCCCAACATCTAATGGCAGTTAACACCTGCAATTCTGGTGATGTACCACAACCCCTTGGGTCCAGTTGTAAATCCTGCTGTTAACGACGCTCAAGTTGCTTCTCGGATATCTGAAATATAAATAATATTAGTTAATAAAACTAATAATAATAGTATATGTAAAATATATACACATAAGAAATTGTTACTTACCTTTTGTACTTGTTGTTTTTCAATAATAAATAAGTACGTGTGCATACGGGGACGGTGGCACTTACCGCGATTTTTATTGTAGGATGTAGATATATTTTGCAACATCGGTGTTGCACCGCGGAGTTCATGATCCCGCGCTTAGTCTGTTGCACTAGAACATCGTACGGGGTGACACCTATGTCTCCCTCCCCGCGGATGTACACGCGCTCACCAAAATTTTTTTGTTTATTTTACTCCCAGACGACACCAGTGGCCTACATCACCAACACCTGCCTTACAAGATCAATTATAAAAGATGCCGTATGTTTATTGAAGCGGTATCGCTTTTTGAACTCTACATCGGGAAAAGAAAACGGATAATATATCTTTTGGTAAACCTTACGACGACGATGCGGAGCATTTCCTAGTTGCTCCATAGCTTCTAAAGCTTGCAGAGCTTGCATATCGACACTTTTTATTAATCAAAATCCACAAAAAACAATTTCACCAACAATAACTTAAACGACTTAAACAAACAGCTGTTCGTTGCTCGCACGCAAATCGGCCATATTTTTCTTTATTACAGGTTTATAGTAGGGTGGACCCTTCTATAACTTATGAAGCCGTTATAGAACACTTATAATGCGTTTTAGAGTTATTAAACGTTTATGAATAATGTTTTACGGGTGCCTCCTTATAACAAGCTAATAAACCTATTTTAACTTTTTATGAATAAGACTGTAAGTAAATAGGGCGTTAGATACTTATTTCATTAGGTTTATAATATTATTTATGTCTGTTTCTTTAAGCCGACCCAGTGGCTTCTTATTTTTATAACGGTCATTTCAAATTCTAACTTTACGTCGTCCTGTTACGTAATGTGTATTCTGATCGTAAGCGACACACCTTTCTCGTTCCAAAGCTAAAGCGAGACTGAGCGGAGTGGGAGCAATGTTGCCACATTGAATTAGCGTAGATCTCTAGACTGACACCGAAAAGTCCCTACTTATAAATGAATTTAGTAACAAAAAAGAAAAATCGAAAAACGACATATTTTTTGTCGCTCAACATTGAATTAAACTCCCTAAATTAACAAAAAAAACTCGTTAGATTTAGCGACAAAGTCGCTAAAGTGGCCACAATAACCGGGAGCAAATTTGCCACATTGAATTTGCGTTGGTCTCTAGAAAAGTCCCTAGTTATAAATGAATTTAGTAACAAAAAAGGTCCCCAAATGTCGCTTATGTCGTAATTTTATTAAAAAAACGCGAAACAAAGAAAAATCGAACAAAATATTTGTATATATATATATATATATATATATATATATATATATATGTATATATACAAAATGTAACAAAAACTCTGTGGTTCCCGTTAAGTGCGTTATCAGAATCAGTATCCAAGCAGGGGTGATAACACATCGGCATTTTGCTTCTTCATCGAGCCTAAATGTAGATGTCTATGGGCCATATGGTGTAGAGCTGCAAAAATAATGAGTTCAAACCTGGTGCAGTGGGCTGTTGACTCCTTTAAACCATTTAAAACAAGCAAGATGGAATAATTCCCACCAAATACAGAAGGGCATCGATGTCCTTCTTCCCTATCTGGTGAAAATCTTCAGAGCAAGTTTTGCTTGGAGATATATTTCAGAACGACGGACATTCAAAATTCTATTTACACCTAAGGCTGGTAGAAAGGACTACGTTTTACCAAAATCCTTAAGAACTTCTTCCTTTCTTCTTAAGACATTGGAAAAGGTTATAGATAGATATGTAAGGGATGTAACTCTAGCTACGAGGCCATACATACATTAAAACCAGAATGCTTACCGCTGAGGCAACTCTCCGGAAACAGCCCTGATCAGTGTCATTGACAGGGGCGAAAAAGCAAAAGATAAAGAAACAGCTCTTTGTGCTTTTCTAGATACTATACTATCAGTTGGACTGTACGTTCGTTTGTCGCCTTATTCTATAAAAATGTGAAAAACATAACATAACATAACATAAACACTCACGCCTGTCACCCAGAGGGGTAGGCAGAGATTACGGACCTCCATTTGGCACGATCCTGACATACCTCTTTCGCCTCCTTTACATCCATATATCTACGCATACATGCTCGTCGGTTAAGGGTACTTCTAACGTGGCCCATTTTCAAAATATCGCCAATTTGGTCGACAAACTTTTTTCTAGGGTGTCCCTTCCCGACTCGGCCGTTCACATCTGCCATATAAATTTGCTTTGTCACTCTTTCATCATTCATTCTTTCTACGTGACCAAACCACCGAAGCATTCCTTTCTTAATCCTGGTCACAACATCATCTTGCATACCACATTTATCTCTTATCACGCAATTTCTCACCCTGTCATTCAGATTAAACCCTAGCATATTTCTTAAAGAACGCATTTCTACAGCATTTATTCTACTTTCGTGCTTCTTCTGCCACACCCAGCTTTCACTACCATATATTAACGTAGGGACTAACACAGCATTATGAATTACCATACGTGCCTGTTTTGACACATTCTGGTTCTTCATAATAGAGTGTAGTGCCCCATTCACTCTATTCCCTGCATTTACTCGTCGTTCTATATCCCTATCATATCTACCATCCCTGCTAAATACACATCCCAAATGCACAAACTCATCCACTTGCTCAATTAACTCTCCTTCTATTCTTATTTCACATACCGTTTTGCTTTCTTCTCTTTCAAAAACCATCACTTTCGTCTTACTTGCGTTCACTTTCATTCCCCTTTCTTTTAATTCCCAGTTCATTAATGTAACCATCATTTGCAACTCTGCCGCCGATGACGCAAATATGACTTGATCATCGGCATACAAAAGGCATTTGACGGTTAACTCGCCCATTCTTAAACCACATTCTTCATCTTTCAAAGTTTGCAAACACCGGTCCATAAATAAGTTGAACAGCCAAGGGGAAGCTACACAGCCCTGTCTGACACCTTTTTGGATGCCAAACCAGTCCGAGTAGACCCCATTGATCCTGACACAAGCACTAGAGTCCCTATAAAGAGACCCTAATGCCTGTATCAAACCAGCGCTCAACCCATATGAGTTCAGTGTTTGCCATAACACATTCCTGTCCACTCTGTCATAAGCCTTTTCCAAGTCCATGAACGCACAAAAAACTTTCTGGTTTTTGGCCAAAAACTTCTCCGCAATCATGCGCATGGAAAAGACTTGATCTGTGCACCCCATTCCCTTTCTAAAACCCGCTTGCACATCCCAAATTTTTCCATAAGTTTCTTTCATAACTCTTTCAATTAACACCTTAGCATACAGTTTACCCACAATACTAAGCAAGCTGATACCGCGGTAGTTTTTGCAGTCCTGCTGTGACCCTTTTCCTTTATATATTGGTACTATAACTGCTTTACACCAGTCATCCGGTACCCGTTTTAATTCCCAACATAAATTAAACAAGGTGTACAGCAGGCCTGCCACCACTCCCTCTCCAGCCCTTAGCAAAAAAAAAATAAATGTGAAAAACATTTATTTTTATTATTACAGCTCTTTTAAATGAGCGACATTTATAAAACAATATGCCATCCTCTTGCCCACGAAGGGGCAGTTTAATAATATCTATTTATCTTTATAGAAGGAAACTGAATCAGAAGATGGGCAGTAGCATCTTCCTGATAACAGCTGTATAAAAATTCAAATACTGCGATTGCCAACCTGTTTACCAAGCGTAACAACTAAGGCGAATATTACCCTTTTGAAGCAATCTATGGGAGAGGCCTACGTTTAGCAGTTGACTTTCGATAGGCTGTAATGGTAACTGTAACAGTAACGCAATCATTATTATTATAATGTTATAAACACAATCTCTTACTTCTGAACTTGAAACAAAGCCGTATGATATCTAAATAATTTTCCTATAAATTTCTAATATAAGTTATTTCTATTTATTACCAGCTTTTGTTTAATAAACAAAGTAGGAAAGGTTTATTGTTTGGAATTTGAGTGGAAAGCTTCTCCACTTGAAATGTCTATTGTTTCGGGAATCTGACAAGGTTCAGTTCGGCGATCTGACATGTTTTGTACAACAGCGTAATTGAATATTCTGCAAAATTTATTTTGAGTTGTTCTTCATAATTCTGAGTTAAATAGAATTAGGTAATAGCTTCTTATAGCTTTTTTTCCTGTCTCTTAACTTAAAGTGTTGAAGTACTACTCGACCATCCATCCAACGAATATATATTTTTTATAAAACTTAGTGACAAATGAACATCACACGTAGAAGAGCTACGCGTAAGTTTATTATGGTTGCACCACGAATGGGCTAAACCGGGCCAGGTCTCTTACAGATTACCTGAAAAGCAGCTTAATGCTACTGTATTTCGTATGGTGAGTTTAGAGAATCGGAGACAATTTTTACTGGTAATGAGGCGTTATATCTTAGTTCTCAGGGATAAAAAGTATATGGCCGTAG